GATGATCTCTCTACAGGGGAATTGTTCCCAACCTGTTGAAGGCTTCAATGCAGCGTTCTCCCGGATTTTTAAAAAGCACGAGATTTTTGATTATTTTGTAATCAAAACAACAAAACACCTGTTTATGGTAATGTTTATTCTTCCGCTAGAGAGGGAATATCGCTCTCTAGCGAGATGGTCTCTCTACAGGGGAATTGTTCCCGACCTGTATGAAACCGCTGACTTGGTAACATTACCATAAACAGGTGTTTTATTGTTTTGATAACAAAATAATCAATAGTCTCGTGATTTTTAAAAAATACGAGAGAAGGCTGCATTGAAGCTTGAATTTCCTACATAAAACTGACAGCCTCTGCTAGAAATTTAAGACAATGAATGTGAGAATAGGAGGCGAAAATTAAGTGTAAATCGTGTATTTTTGCAAAGGTTTTAAAATTTACAGCTATATATGTTTATGAAGCAATATGAAATATGAATAGATATCCAAATTACATTCGTTAAGGTTTTAGCTTTCACTTCTTGCACAGAAGGTGATAATTACGTTCTTCAGAAACCCATGACCATTGCTGAAATATTTGATCTTTGGTGGACTATAAGAAGTACGGAAGCGCAACAGGGTTGTAACATTTGTTTAAAAGTTATAATGAGAAAAAACTATCAATGACATATATACAAGCTGGATACCCGATTAAATAATTAAATATATTTGAAAACAAATCAATTAAAAAAGTTTAAATTAAGTCTAACCGATATTGACATAGTACATAATGTTGATAAATGGAAACCTTGGAATTGCATTAAGGCGTGATATTCTCGACGCAAAATAACTGTCTGTCAAATGGTGATCTAGATTTTTATTTGTTGTCTTAGCTCATCAATATTCATAGGAGCATAGTCAAGCCTAACCGATAAACGACACATAACAGCTTAGTATGAATTAATTTTTTATAACACAAATAGAGAAAACAAAAATGCGAAATTGTTGAGGGATCATTGCTTTCCACGTGTTGTGTTAGTTTGAGGAAGTAGGCCCTAAGTGTTTGTATTTCAATAACATAAATTCTTAAGGGTTTTTTTTCCCGGTGGCAATGAACAATTCCACGTTTGAGAACACTTGCACTGGGATCCTGCATAACAATGCAAGTGTATCTTTTAATAGTTCACAGATCCTTTCCAATACAGAGGTTGCATAGGAGAACCCAGGCCGGAAGAATTTTTTTTTTTAAAAGGATTGGGGGGGGGGGGGGGGGGTTGACGTCCAAAAAATTTGACCAAAATAATAAATTAAAAAGTGACAAGGAAATAAACGCTTTTAAAGGTATGCATATATTTAGAAAGAAGATTTACCAACACTATGTGAAATTCTTCGTAATTAACATTTTATAATTCCTACAATAAAAAAATTAATTATATTTTTATTAAGTTAACAAGGGGACCGTCACGCATAAGCGATGATTTGCAGGTTATAAATGGCTTCCTGTAAGTCGAGTCATACTTGAAGGTCACCCATAAGACTATTTAAATTAGATTTACTGTGAATTGAAGATGTGTAATGTTGATAGCTTTTACCATGCATCTGTTTTTGAACTTCGGTATAATCTAAAGAAATCTAGTCACATAATCTACCTCCTGTATTTGTTCCTTGCAATTGTCATCCCTCCCCATCTACCGTCTCGCGCCTCCGAAAACTTGTGATTTTTCCAAAATAACATGTACAGTCATATTCTGAGAGCAATACATGTGCAATAGTATGATCTATTTTTTTTTAATTGAGTTATTTATGTCGGACAAGTAACTGAAATTTACATTGGTTTTTTTTTTTTTTTTTTTTTTAATTGAATCATTTATGTAGGACGAGAAACTGAAATTTACACTTTTTTTCATTCACGGGTAAAATATACAAAAGAATAAATATATAGAAGATCCTGCAAACATTGACGAGTGTAACAATGAGCTCACGAAATGATACTCCTGCTCCCACATGTGTATAATGATTAAGTCCATTTGTTGATATAGGAAAGTCCAAATATATGTCCGATAAAAAGATAAATTAGGAAGTCACAATTTAAACTACATTTTATTTTATAGTATAAGAGGAGTTGCTGATAAGAGATGGGTATCCGAAATCGTAATGGACTGACGGACAACTTTACAGACAGACTAACTGACGGACACCTCACCACTATATACCCCCCGCTTTTCAAACGGGGTTATTAAAAAATAAGGCGAAAGATATACGTACATCTGCAATAATCAAGTTTACTCGTACTAATATTTATCTACCTCTGGTCCTCCGTAGAAAGTCTATACAATTGTGCATGATCTTGATCAAATTTCCAAAATATGCAGCAGTAGAGGCAATATTTTAAAGCAAATATATTGAGATGAGACAATAAATATTTAACAAATGGGTTGACATGCATCCGGATTTTCCTTTTACGGTAGTTAACACGTTTACAGATGGAATCGGAATGTAAATTTCGGGTTTCCGAGATGTATTTTTTTCCCGCTAGAGAGAGATAATTCTACAGGGGAATTGTTTCCAACCTGTCATATAAGGACCATCAGATATTGTGAGAAACCAGTCGAATATGGCGGACAGATTCCTTTTACGAACCGTGTTCATCTTTAAGTATGACATAGAAAAGAATTGCATATTTGCTTATAAACACAATAAAAAAATGAACATTAAGGGGACGACTTTTTTATTCTGAAATGGGGGTGGGTTGGGGTTGGTACAATTTTTGAGTCAGATTACAGTCAAGGCTAGATTAATCATTTTTAACATGATCAAGGGCAGATTATATTTTTCACTGAAAAAGTTTGACAAAATAAATAAATAATAAATAGATAAGCAAAACGCCTAAACTAAAGAAAACCTGTCAGGAATAATTATTTATTTTCTTGCTGGAGGACAAGCAACTAACCATTTAAAACATTCACAAGAAGATACTATTTTTAAAATCTACTTACTTCAAAAACATATAGTCATATCCTAAATAAATTAAAAATAAAACAGCAATATCTGCAGCCCCCTCCCCTTGAACCAAATGGTTCTTCCGCAAGCTTAATTCAGCTTTGTGATAACCCGATATCTTGAATTTGTCTGTTGTTGTATCCGTCTAATCATCTGTCAGTCTATCCATCAGTCTGTTATATGAAATATTATCTAAAATTCTTACTTAGAACCCCCTGGCCTATTTAAAAAAAAATGAATTAACCAACATAAAATTGAAATTGTTCAAGTTATGGGCCTGGGTTGATGATAAAAGTTTAATTTTTCATAGAATGATACCAAAAAAAGAAGAAAAAAAAAACACATTTAAAATCTTCTCAAGAACAGTAGGACAGTAATTAATCATAACAATACCCAATATCCACAGGTATTGCAAAATCAGTTTTGTTCCAAAAATGCTCCCTGGTTGTAAGATTGGAGTCGCAACAGAGGAACAAAGAATTAGGAAATCTTTTAAAATCATCTTCCCTAGAATAGTAGGTCCAACTGTCAAATTCACATGCCATTTGACTCAAATACTGCAGATTCAAGGGTTTTTTTTTTTCCTATTCTGTTCCCTTGGGTAGGCTTGAACCACAAAAATCATTGTCAAGAACAAAAGGACCATTTGGTAATATTATTTTATCCTAGCGGTATGCAAGCAACTTGAGGTAGTGTAAAAATCAATGGCCTTGGGATAATGTTTAAATAAGATAGGGGATGAAAGTTTTACAACAGGAATACATTAGAAAACATCGCAAAGCAAGGTAAATGTAAGCTTTTTTAGGAAGTGCAGATTAAATTTGTTTAAGAGGGCTGGGTGGTTGTGGCCATTTTTAGACTATATTGATCTCCTTTAGAAGAAGAGCTCCATATAAAGATATACAAAAATGATCAAATTTTAAAACTAAATGTATGAATTTTTTTCTTTGCCAAATGATAGTTGACAGCTTAAGATATCATATCTAAAAAATAAGTTATATTTGATGGTTAATTTGTTGGCCTCCCAGCCTCCTTAAATCATGGCCTACAGGACTATGGCTGGGCACAATGGGGAATCAAAGTTAAACCATGGAAAATATATGAAAAATGTTTAAAAATTTTCTTCCAAAAAGCAACCAAAGTAAGTGATGATTTTACGTAAGCAGCCTCAGTCAATGCAGATTCTATTTGTTTAAAACATGGCCCTCTAGGAGAAGTTTTGGCCACAAGCGGGAATGATATTTTTAACTAAAATTGCTGTATGAATGTGTCGATGAAATTTTTCCTCAAGAAAAGCTAGAATTATATTTGGTGATATTTATATATGAACAAATTGAGAAAAAAAAAATAAAAAAAAAAAAACACAAGAAAAAAAATAAAGGTCCACATGCATTCACACAGTATTTATTAGAATTCTTCTTTAGGCTCAAGAGGGCTATTTAAACTGTGTTTTTTTTTTTTTCAATGCTTTGCTGTAAATTTGTAATACATGTAAAAAGAATATCTTGAGACTACAAGAACAATAAAACTTTGATTTGATAGCTTATTTTAAATATACGGAGATATAGTCAATAAACTGTTGCATTTATTTGAGCGCAGTAAACATTTTTTTTTTTCAGTGGATGACACTGTAGCTTTTTAATTGTCCATTCCAAATCTTTCTAACTAGCGAGATACAGATATGCACTTTAGTAAAAATGTTGAAAGTTAAGGTCTAATTTTTATAACTTTTTCGGTAATTTTCTAATGATACTAAGTATACATACCGTTAGAATACATTTTAGCACCTTAAACTTAGTGCAATCTACCTCTTCAATTGCTCAATGAAACAATAAATCTGTGCTTATGGATGAGAGAAAATATGCATTTGTTTTTATCAAACATAAACTCGTATTTTAATTAGTGAATAAGAATCAGTCCACAGAGCGCGAAAATATGATTACTACTAAATAAAGTTCACATGTACGTTCACAACATGTTCAATTGTCTTCTTACAGGTCGTAGAAATCAAAATACATGTATAATGGCGACTGCACAAGGTCAAGATGTGATACGGAGCAGTTTATGTCCAGAGCCTGCAGAATTTCACTGCAATTTGTGCAGTACGGATATATGTAGCAGCTGCGTTTTGAGACACATGATGGATAAATCGAAAAATCACGAGGTTGTTGCATTTGAGAGCAAAAAGAAAAAAATAGAGAACCCCGAGAGTCAGTCTCACAAAATAAAATGCGAGACATATTGTCATAATTGCAAGGCGTCCATATGTATCAAATGCCTCATCGGTTCACACAAAGGGCATGATGTTACGGAAATAGACGAAATAGTTCAAATGCAGCGAAAACGTATTGAGTCTGATACAGAGGCATTAGAAGGAAATGTATTGCTAAAAATTACCCTTATGAAAGAAAATGTTTCCTCAAGCAATGTTATGGTTGATAATGTCATCTATGAGCTGACTCAAAGAGAAAACCAAATTAAGGCTGCGGTTCACAACGAAGCAGAGAAGATAAGGAAAGATGTTGTTCTTGTTAAGGAACGAAATAGAGATGTCATTTCAGAAAATCAGTCAAAAGTTTCTGAATTGGAAAGCAAACTAAAGCAAGCGATAGAAAAGAATAGACAGATTTTACAGTCCCGACAGATTCAGGATATATTGAATTATGAGTGTATCAACGAAAAGTTCAAAACAGATTTAAATCTCCAAAAGTGTGTTCATCCACGTTTTGTATGCAGTGAAATTGAAAACGATCAAATCATTCGTTTGCTAGGTCATATATCCTGTGAAGAGGCCAAAACAGTCAAACAAGATTTACATTCAAAAGAAAGCCCGGAGATAATGTTTTCATGTACAATTCAGGGTTCTAACAAACCTCTTTGGAGAATAATGTGTGTAGGAAATAATAAACTGTTAATAAGTGGCGAGATAAACTCCATTAAGGAAATAGACAGGAAGGGGGCATCTTTACAGACTTTTAACACTTTAAAATCCCATGTAGCTTTCTCGTTTGATAACTGGAAATCTTTAACATTTGCAGTAAATGATGACTCCAAAATCTATATTGTCAATTGCAACAAAGTAGAGAAATATTTGAATTGTGATGGTTGGTTACCAAAGGGTCTTTGTCATCTGAAGAACGGAAGCCTGTTAGTAAGCATGCGCTCTTACGATGAGAAGCAAAGCAGAGTGATAAGATACTTAGGGACGGAAGGTATACAGAAGATTCAGTATGGTATCCGGAAACAGCCTTTGTTTTTCTGTGAAGTTTCCTTTATGCTTTTGCTAACTGAGAATGGTAATGGGGACATCTGTGTGGCAGACTATGGAGGAAGCGCAGTTGTGGTTTTGGATTCTTTTGGTGAACTACGTTTTAAATATGAAGGAAACATTTCCAATCAGTCAAAATACAAACAATTCCTGCCGATGCACATTGCTGCTGATGTTAACCATCAGGGGCCTGTTTTACAAAAGAACTTACGACTAAGACCAAAAATTAATTCTGCTAATAACTTTTTAATTTACATTAAATAGAAAACGGTGTTAATATTTTTAAAAAATGTGTAGAAAGATACTTTTACACTAGTAATTTTAAACAGAATAATTTTGCAAAATTTTACAATCAACTGAAGTTTTTGATCTTAGTCGTAAGTTCTTTTGTAATACGGTCCCCAGATTTTGATAGGTGATAGTAGATATAACATTGTCCATATCATTGACTGTGATGGCAACTTTGTCCGTTATATAGAACATCCTTGTAATGGGGGACTTAGTGTTGATACTGACAACAATTTAGTTGTTGGTGATAGAAAAAGTGGAAAAATTCAATTCATCAAATATTTGGAGTAATTCATTTTTTTGTAGTGAACGTACTAGACATTTGACTTAATCTTTACTTCCATAATTTGCTGAAATGACTGAAACACTGCAACATTTAAGTCCGGACACGCCAAAGTCCAGACTTTCAGCTACCCTTTTTGAAAGACATAATTTAGAAAATTTCCTGGATTTTGGTGGGATTTTTTATTATGATCACATCATGTCAACCTTAACTTTCACAGTGTAGTTGTTTTCTCGACAAAATCTTCCAAACATAAGAATCCCATGAGAGAATGAGGCGGGGGGGGGGGGGGGGGGGTTGTCATCCCACCATAAATCCCACAGGAGAAATAATCCTGTGGGATAATTTGTCCCATGTGGAAAAAAAAAATCCCTTGACCGTTGTAATTGGGATTATTTCTCTCATAGAACAAGAAATCCCACTAAATGAAGAAACCAGGATTAAATATCCTACACCTTTGCCCAATATAGGAGAAATTATCCTGTAATCACTCATTTTTAGAGGCATTTGTTCAATAACATTAAAGTAATACGAAGATGTACCACGCTACATTGATGGTATCATTTAGATTCCAATTTGCTCCTAAAACTAACTCGTACTATGAGTGAAACAATATTTGTATTGGAAACATGTATACCCACCATGTGGTATTATAAAAAATGAAACAACTTTAAATTCTGTATGTCTATAATAATAGAGAAAACAATTGTCATTAACTAGTCAGGGGAAAACAAGGGTAGCTAAAAGTCCGGCCTTTGTCGTGTCCGGACTTAAATATCGCAGTGTGCTGATATATTTCATATAGAAATAGAACAGTCAAACCATAGAGGTATGTTTGTTGTCCAGAAATGGTAAAATAAGAATGATCTCCAGCATATGCACATGCATTTTGCTCTGACTGGCTGATACACACACACACACACACACGCACGTGCGCGCGCGCGTACACACAATAGGAAAACCTCCCTTGTTTCTTGAAAAAATAAATACTTTGGAATTTTAATCATAGGTATACATTATAAGTTTTTTTTAATAAATTCTATTATAGAAATTCGTAAAAGCACGCCCATGCCAGTTTGTTGCGATTCGGTTAGTTGAAACTTTAAATGGCTACAACTTCTTTAGGTTTCAATAAAACGGAACGAAATTTAGAATATAGATACATGTAGGTATAATGGGTCCCAGAATTATGCTTCTATCAAAGATGATGCAGGGACTTGCTTGCTGAAAGTCAGGCTAATACTTTAAATGCTATATCTCTTTTACGATTCAATTAAATACTTTGAACTTTAAGACGTGTATATATTATGTATATATTATAAAGCACTATAAAATATATCCTGACATATTGTATTTTCGACCTATTTAGATGTTTTTTTTAAACTTTTAAAAGAATGAAAAATAAGGGCTTATAAAGATTACAAACGTTACTGTTAATAAAATAGTACAACTTAAATTGCAGTTTTGTGTTCACTTTATATATTTCCATAAAATAAGGAGGGTGAAGTTTTCTTTGCAAAAATGTAACACCCCCCCCCCCCCAATAAGTATTGACGTCCAGACAGTTTTTGCTGAAAATATCTTTAGGAAATTCTACGGAATAAAAATATGGTCGTTTGTCTTTCAAAAAAAAAAAAAAAAAGAAGGAAAGAAAAACATAAAACAAGCTGTATATTTTGGTTGCAGATAATTTAATTTACTGGTTGTGCCCTCGCGTTAGTAGCAGTGCACTTCTTAAAAACAAATGAAATTACGCTACATTCACTGAAAACATAAATTATTCACGTTGACCAAATTTGAAGTCATTTTCTTTCGTTCAGGTAGTCAAAACATAATTCGGCTATTTGAATCCTAGCCGAAGTTAACTTTGGCCATATGATGGTCATTTTGACTCAATTGTTTGGCGGGAAGAAACAATAGCGTCGGTCACTATTTTCCTCCCAACGAAACACGAAGTGATGGTAGGTAATTTTTTTGGGGGGGGTGGGGGGTGGGGGGGTTCTTGTTTTTGATAAATGATTCGAAAACAAACTTATTCAAAAAATTTTCTACAGAGAAATAATGTTGTAATTAACAAAGTCCTCAATATTTCCCCCTTTATTGTATTTTACATTATTATGATGGGTAGGAGATGGTTAATTGTGTTCAAGTAGATTTTTGCAGATTCAACTTATGCAAACAGTTCAAAGCGGACCTAGTCCAAAATGCAGCGTTAAATATATACGTATTTCTTTTCTTATAACTCACAATATGGCATGGACTATCAACTACCAATGGACAAAACAAAGCAAAAGACACACTGTTAAGAATAATATACAATTGACAAAATGAAAACTACAAAATGAACAAGGAAGTTACCATGAATAGAAGAAATAAGGTGGAATTACACGTACTGATAGCTTGTATTTTAATTATAATGGTACTTAACACAGTATACTTATGTTAACATCAACTTTTTTTTTATTTTATGAAAAAATACGAAAACACTAAGTCCCTGATGTTTATGTACTGACTCTCTACTAACTATAGGCCTATAATAGAGTGTTATGCATCCCCAAGTAGTATATATATCCTTTTGGCCTTCCATATATTTTGTTCATAATGTATGATTAAGGCATTTAAAATAAAATTGCAATGTTTTGTAGTTAACCCATTTCTGTCAAACAAGGATATAAAACAGAACTGATGATGTTTGTATTCCCCTGTGTCATGTTCGCCAAAGTATATGTAACTTTTTTGTTCATTTTAATTGTATTTAATGTATGTAACTACTAATATTATGACACCTGTTATTTTCTTCTGAAAACTGCATATAGGTCTATATTTGTATTTTGATTTTTCTTTTAATAGTTTTGTTTCCTCCAAACTAAAATGATGTAATTTTTGTACGTACTTTAGCTATCTAACAACTGCATAAATTATAAAGACTATTATTCATTGCAGGACCTGAAAAAAAAAGAATTAGGAATGGTAGGAGAAGAAAACAAATAGTTATTCCTGAGAATGAGGTAGGAAAATAACCACTGAAAGGGCGCAACGAGAGACGGTTACCTGAAACTGTTTCTTTGATTGATAAGAAATAATTAACAAACAGTAAAATTAATTTGCTTGGAAATAAATAAATAGAGAATAATACGTACCCTTTTCCATCCTTTATCAGCCCGAGACACCAATATCATCCACAGGGCCGAAGGCTGATATTGGTCGAGGGCTGTTACAGGACGTGTTGTGGTACAGGGTATGTTTAATTATGTTGATTACATATAATTAGTAATAAAATAAAGCACACATCAACTTGAGAAAAATACATATAATTACTCATGCACTGGTTTCTCATGGTGATTTTAATTGCCATATTATGCAACCACGTAAATTTCTTTGCCACGTATCGTCACCAATTTTGATGAAACTTTGAAAATTATTACTGCTTGAAAACAGAAACATATCAAATTGCTTTGTGTCTTGGTTTCCATGGCAACAGCTGGAAAATTTTGGAAAATTGACATTTTCAGCAATTTGAAAGATTAGGAAAAACAACCAAACCATTCTCTCAAAACATTACACCTTGTTGAAACCTATCCTTTAAAGAAACTGATATATATATATATATATATATATATATATATATATATATATATATATATATATATATATATATCGAAATTTGAAACATTCACAGTGTCCGGTTTTAATATAGATAAAATTAAAAAAAAAAGAAAGGCAACACAGGTTAAAAAGTTAGCGCTTTCATTATCATCTTCTGATGTTTTACAAATACATAATAACGTTTTCTTGACTGTAATATCTAACAAAACTATTCAGATTCTTCATTCTGATAGTAGAATATAATTTCTCAAGAAGCTGCTCTAATTTATCTCATTTTTATCGTTAAAGATATATATTCCATACGTTAACTTGCTTCGATTGATTCCATTCTGAATGCTATGTTTTCCGAATTTAGAAAATTTTTACTGCAGAAATTATAGATTCTATACACGATACTACTGTATACAGGGTTATTTTCGCCCCTTGTTATTTTCGCCCTTTCACATTTGCAAACATTTTTTTCCCGTTTTAAATCCGTACAGTCACAATTCTGTTTAATAAATAATGCTGTGTTCTTCGAATTCGCCCCGTTCTAAATTTGCCCAAGTGTGAGTAGGGCGAAAGGGACAAAAATAAAAAGGGGGCAAAAATTTCCCTGTACACAGTTATCCTTTTTTATTATTGCAATTGGCATTTCTTAACGAGCCTAAATCTTTTCCATATCTATAAAAGCAAATAACAGTGAAAAAGAGTCCATTTTAAAACAAAATTTTTAATTATTGAAAGATATCGGAGGCATGTTATGTTTAGAGAGAAAATATAAGAAAATTACAAAAAAAAAAAAAAAAAAAAAAACAGAAGCACATCATGTTACACAAACATAACCTATGACCTATGAGGAGTGATGACTGAATGATTTTGGACATTTTGGAATATAAATGCAAATTAATCTCTATCAACCATTTATGCTCGGGTGGTACATACCACATACTATTGATAAGATTTTCTGTTTGTAATAGAGCAATTTCTTAAAATTTACTTAACAAAGGAGGTTTATATATATATAATATTGGTATTTTTATTTTTTATTCCTTTTTTTCATCTGTTCAGATATATGTGAAAATCAAATGCTATTTGAAATACTTATCTAAGGATGTATTATCAAAAGCAATTTAATTAAAAAGAAGAGCAGGAAATGAAAACTTCCTTTTCTAAAGTAGAGTAAATTAATACATTTTTTTTTAAATGCAAGTCCTGATAAGATTAAAAAAAAATCAATTGTGTAATACACCATGGTAAGTATTTAATAGTTCAATTGATATTATCAGTCACTGTTATCTTTGACATTGTTTAATTAAGATTAAATTCACGAATCCAGCAATTTAAAAAAAATGCAATCTGAAATTTAAGTCATTATCATACGCTGAAAGGTCTCCTTAGTTTATCTGATGAACCAAAAAAA